AAGACAAAAATATACTTAAAAATTTATTAAAATTAGACTATTTAAATATATAATAATATTATTACAAATAAAATTAAAATATATAAAATAAAAATAAAATGATTAAATAATTTAAAAAATAAAAAAATAAAATATCATTAATATTATTTAAATAAATTATTAAAAATATAAATATAAAATATAAAATATAATTATAATTATAACTATACTGATATTCTCTCAAATAATATAGATACCATAAAATTTCTCGTTTTACTTTTAATGTAAAAAAAAAATAATGTAGCAGAATGTGAATGGTTAGATAAATTATGTGATAGAAATTTATTAAATTGCATTCAAATGCACCAAAACATAACTGCATATAATTTGAATCCTGTACAAATGGGTTGTCTCATATATACAAAATCAGAATACAAACTAATTATTGCAATAACAATTATTACTAACTGAAACAATTAATTACTGACTGTAACACGCCCCTCAGCCTCATGTTGGGAGGTATAGGTTCATGACTCGCAACTTGGAAATCAACGAATTCAAAATGTGGTAAAGCCTCAGAAAGAGCATTTACTATATAGTCTCCCTTGTGTTGGAGGATCTTGGTGTTAGAGTTGATTTTTAGTATCACAAAACTCAGAAAACTACATTATGTAATTTATCAAGTATTTGTTGATCATCTTTTATGCTCATTTTTATTTAGGTGAGAGTAATCAGTATTATTTATTTTTATTGGAATTGTATTTAGGATCTTGTAGTGTAGAATTTTGAACCTTGTACTTGGACCTTGCAGTGTAGGTTTTAGGCCTTGAAGTCACAAATGCACTTTTTGTCATTTAACCTACATTTGAGTTTGAATTTGGCACCATGTGATTAGTCATGTAGGGGTGCACATGGCTTGGCCAAATTCCATTTAAATATAACTCAAATGTCATTCAAATGTATTGGTGTAATTTCTTATATCCAGTGACACATGGGAGTACATGAGATGTATCTAGGTTCACTCACCAATTTGAGTTTCAAATTCAAATTACCGCACCAACCTTCCTAGTTAGCTAACCTTGGTTCATTTTGAACCTTGATTAGCCTACCTTCTCCTAGAAGCCACCAAGATCTATTTAAGGTTTCCACCTCCATTGTATGCATCACTTTTGGAATTTTATGAGCATTCATCACTTGAATTCTCTCCTTCCAAATTCCTTGAGTCACTTAGGAGATACTTCTCCTTAAGAACTTCCAACAAGGAAACCTTTGTTGTGACTAGTGCCTTTGCTTGTTTCTCCTTCTTGTGGAGAAGGCTTGCGCCTTTAAAACACCTTCTACTCTTCATCTTGTTTGATCACTTTCCTTTGGAGAGCTTCAAGGAAGATCAATGGAGTCCTAAGGAGTCACTTGGATGAATTCGTTCACCATTCAACCAAAGAGATTCCATCATTTTGGTATCTAGAGTCATGGTTGTTTTCCTCAAGGATTAAGTCATCTTTCCATCGTTTATTTTGTCTAAAACTCTTCTTGATTATCTTGAGATGTTTGTGTTATGTAGATCCAGTTTCTTGTATGGTAATTGATAGATCTACCTGTCTTGAAAACTTTTGGTTTCTTACAAATATTTTGAACTAGTAATCTTGAACCAATCTTTATAAGCCTATAAGACCTGTGCCATAAGTGCTTCATTTTGATTTGGTTGAGTCTCTATTCATGATTTGATTTGGTAATAAGATGAAAGTATGCATGATTTTGAATTTTTGAATCCATATATGTTGTCTAGAGTCATGTATAGTTTTTGTTGTTGAGATTCATGAAGTCGTAAATCAACTCAGATTTGGAGTATGAAAGTTTTGATCATAACAAAGGGTGGATTCTGAGAATCAAATCTGACCAAGGACATCAACAAGTCAAAAACAAGTCAAGAAGAAGATATGACTATTATGATGTGTAATAGGAATAGGTTATAAGTTCTTATGAGTTGTATTGGTTTGATTAGCTTATTTTGAATGTTTATGCTTTGTGCATGAGTTAATTTTAATCTAAATTGACTGAGAGTGAGTATGATGATGACTTAAAATAATTGGAAAGATTTTTTTTGAAGTATAAATTTGAGTTTTTGAGAATTAACTCAAAATAATTGATTATCATAAAATGTAATCGATTATTCTAGCAACAGGTGAAAAGAGCCTTCTCAACCAGAACGGCCCGTTCCCCATCTAGAATGACCGTACTCCCTCCAGAACGGCCCGTACTCCCTCCAGAACGGCCCGTTTTGGGGTTTGGAACGGCCCGTTCTCCCTCCAGAACGGCCCGTTCTCA